GGTACTCTGAAGCGTGATTTGGTGTCATTCTGGTTGTTATGAGCGAGTATGAAAGTATAGCCTTGTGACAGTTAAATGTTACATTTCAGTGAAAGGTGATAATGGAAATATTAGAGTTGAGTTCTGAGAAATATTGTATAACATTCTGAATGAATATGATCCTGGGGAAAAATTATTCTGTTAGATGGCATGAATGAATGGATGGGAATCACAAAGTACAGAAAAAGTGATTGGGAGCTTTGGAAACCTAAGGATGAATGAGAACAGTGGCTGTTTGGTGGATGTCTGCTTAAAAAATGTCTGTTGGTTTGTTTTTTTTTAAATATGTCGTTTAAGCATAAGTCTATTCAAATATACACATGGCAAATAATATATAATATAATATAAAATAAAATAAAATAAAATAAAATAAAATAATATAATATAAATATAAAAGCATGTATGGGAGTGCTAATGATATACAGAAAAGTAAAACTGGAATGAATGCTTTAAATGTTAGTACCAAGGGAAAAATATGAAAATGAAATAATACATTTATGAGAATATTAAAAAATGTCAGGTTGCAGGTACACATAGTATAACTGGAAAATTTTTAAAATATGGATGCAATTCTGCAACTTGTTTAACATGCATATGAAGACACAAAGATTGTTTTGGGCATGATGGCTGCATAGAGGGATAATAATGGCATTCTTCCAAAGGAAAAAGTGCATGCAAAAAATATAGGGAAATTTGTTAAGTATTACTGGGAAGATGTTTTGCAGAATTCCAAATGAAAGGATACAGGAAGTGACAATGAGCAACATTTGCGAAGAGCAGTATGAATATGCCAGCCAAGGGAGTTCAGACCATAATTTTGCTCCTCAGTAGCTCAATGAGAAAATATGTTTACTGTATATTTACTGTTTTAAAGAAAACATGGTAAAGTGAATAAGCTTGAATTGTGAAATGGTTTGCACAAATGTGCAACAGAATGTAGGTTGCTGTATGGGATAAGATTGGTATATGATTTATTTATTTATTCAATTTGTATGGCCCTCCCATCTCACCTGACTGATCTCACAACTGATAAAAAAACCCAATCCAATAAAAACAAGTTAAAAACCAATATACAAGCATATAAAACCATCAATAATCACTTTAAAACAAAAATAACCATGGTAAGCAGCAATCCATCCTTGTGCCAGCTCAACACAGCCATTGTAAAAGCTCCCCATCATTGCTGGAACGCCAAGCATGGTGGCAAAGTCAAGGGCCTTCAGGGCCTTCCTAAAGGCTGGGAGGATCAGGGCCAACCTAAGTTGCAGGGGAATAGTGTTCCAAAGGGCAGGTGCCACTGCAGAAACGGCTCTCTTCCTGGGTGCTGCCAGATGGCACTCTTTCCTAGATGGGACGTGTAATGTGCTGCCCTTGCCGGTCCTGATGGGATGGTTAGATATAACTGGGTCCTCTCAAGGCAGTCCCTCAAATGAGGAAGTAAAGCATGAGTAAGAATAAAGCCTAGTGAATATTTTATCATTGAGCAGGGAGTATGACAAGGAAGTGTGAAGACCTCTTAGGTGTTTGACTTGTGTATAAATGTACAGTACAGTATAAGGAATGCTTGAAATGAAGCCAGAAGTGCATTAGTGTGTCTATGTATATGCACTTTTCTACAAAGATATTGCCATGTTGTTGGCTGAAAACCTGTGTTGCACAAAATGCTAGATCATATAACAGGTTCAAGTGCTGCATCTTTTTGAAGTTAAATGCCAATAGTGTAGTACCATCTTGGTTCAAATGAATTCATTTCCTTTAACCCATGTTCAGGACCAACATGACCCAAAACATTTCCTTGTATAAAAATTTAACCTCATCATCCTACACTATCACCTTGTCCATATACTGAGACTCTTCAAATTTATCTGTCTTGTTGGTCCTGAACATGATACAACAAGTATTTCAAAGAAAGTTATCTCATAAGCCACAGCTTTCAATCTCCTATTTAGAAACGTAATTTTGGCTTCCAAGATGTCAAGATCATATTTCCTTGTATCTCTAAAACCAGCATGCACTCCACTCCATCAGTATTTTCCTGATGTATTATATGTGCAGTCTTCAGACCTGACAGACATTTTATCATGTGGGTTACATACCCATAACAAACCCAACTATCCATTTCTCTAATGAGCACTAGGAGCAAAGTAATCATATTTGGATTATTTGGACCTGTGGCAATCTGCATTCAGGCCTGGACATAGAATGGAAAGAGCACTGGTTGTAGTCAGAGTTAACTTTTGCAGGACTTGTAGGGAGGGAATGTGACCATCCTTGTACTGCTGGACCTCATAGCAGCCTTCAATCCTATCACCCATGCTATACTTCAGTAGTTCCTTTCTTTCCTGAGTGGGGCCAATCAGTGGTTGTAGGGAAAGAGAGACTGGACCCTTGGTCTCTGTTATAGCATGCCCCAGGGTTTTATTCTTTATCCTATCCTATTTAATATATACATGAAACTGCTGAGGAAGTAATCCATAAGTTCAAGTTGAGGGATCATCAATAGGCAGATGAAGCCCTGTTATATATCTCTACCTTTAATCCAATGGGAGATGTGCCAGAAGTTCTCATTTGATGTCTGGAGGCCTGTAAAGGCCTGGATGGGAAAAGATAGGCTCAGACTTGACCCAAGGAAGTTAAGAATGGCTGTTGATTGAGAAACCTACTTGACTGCAGTACAATACTAACAATGACTCTTAAGGGGGCTAGTAGAGAGAGAAATGCTTGCAATCTTGGGTCCTTCTGGCCTTATAGCTCCTGCTAGAAGAGCAGATGGAGGCTGTGGTCAGGAGGGCCTCTGCTCAGATGCAGGTAACATAGCCTTGCTGGAACATGATGCATTGTGAACAATTCCTTGTACCCTTTGTTATTTCTTGCATGGATTATTGTAATTCACTTTACATGGAGCTGCCCTTGAAGACCACTCAGAAACTTCAACTAGTACAAAAAAAGTACCCTGTGTGCTTATTAGGCAATCACACTACTAGTTACTGGTACATTTCTGAGTGTAATTCAAGGTGCTGCTTGCCACTTTTACAGCCCCGCTGGTGCATTTCTGGATGCTATTGAAGATGCTGTGGGGGCTCCCCTCCTCTAGAAAAGTTAAGATGGCTCTCAGCACCATGACCTTTTGGAAGCTTATAAAAATGTAACTTTTCCAGGGGACCTTTGGCAGTGTTATTATTGCCTGTAATATTATGATTATTACTTTTATTTGTTTTAATTTATTAGTACCTGTACATAGCCTACAGTCAGTTAGGACCAAGGCAGTAGATAAATTACACAAATAAATAATAAATATATAAATAAGCTAATTGAATTATTCTACACCCAAGTGATCTATTCTAGTCTCATGCTGGATCAATGTCTGGAAGCAATAAAGAGCTGGACAAGGACCAATAAATGTTAAATGAATCTCAACACGTACTATAGATTGTTGGTTCTCAGGTGCAGGAACTGGCTAATCATACTATTTTGGATGGAGTCACCTTAACAGTTTGGGACTAATTATCAAAAGAAATATTTTACAACAACCTGAGCCTGTTCTTAGATCTTAGGGTTAGGCCTTTTTGCTGTTCCATTAGTAGGAGAGTGCATTGAATATGGACACAAAATGCATTCTTCTCAGTTGAGGAATCCAGAAAGTTGAATGTTTTTTCTCTAAAAGCATTGTGTTGCCTAAGTCACTGACCATTCAGTAAAAAGTCTAAATTTTATTAGGTATGAGGTTCTACTTTAATGAATCTACAGTACCTGTGGTCCCTATTACTGGGGTATATTTCATCTCTACTGTCACATATTTTCATTAAAAATGGAACACATATGAAAGCAAAGCAATAGTTTAGTACCTGCATTCTGAAATACTTTCAAGAACTGTTTAATGCAGACCCCATAGGAGTAACATAATACACAAAACTCAGTGGGCTGTACTGTCTACTAATGGCTGCAGCTAGTATACCAAACAGTGTATCATCTTATCCTCTCCCAGAGCTCACATTTTAGCTTGATTAAATCCCATCCAGACGTCTGCCCAAACAGTTCACTGGGTTCTCATTTAGTTCACAGGCAAAGAATTTAGTACTATAATTTGGTGTACGAAACTGCATTGCTCACAATGCCTTGCCAGCGGGGGCTGGCGGAAAGTGAAACCTCATAGCATCAGGACCCAAGTTTGCCGGCTACCGATCTAGCTTTGTTTCGTCCATCAGTTTGCTGACGACGTAACACCTCACAACTCTTGAATATCTCGTCGAAAGGGACTCAACCCCGAAAAACTCTGTAGGTAGATATTTATAGGGAGGAAGAATTGTCCTAATCTTCCGAAATTCATCTCATTAGGAAGTGAGTCCCGCTACCAAACAGTGCAATTACAACCTTGACGACGTCCAGCGCTCATCTGATTTAAAATCTAAACCTCTTCCTAATTCGAGTCATGAGGGGGAAACAATAGCGTCCCGAAAGCACCCACTCCCCTTCCATTTCAGCCAAACTTTGATTCCATTAGAAAAATGGAAACTAAGCAGCCCATTACAAAAGGCGTCTCCTTCCTCACACCTCCGTCAGGCCCTGACATGGAGTGACCCGCCCAGGGAGGAAGGTCCCCGGCTTCTCTAGCCGACTGGTCACTGCCACTTTCAAGGGACAAATGTACTCGACGCTCAAGCTCCGCTACTAACCTGTCTCCCAAGCCCGCTCTCGTCTCTTACGGTCGGCAAAACGCAGTGACGACCTCGCCCCTTTCCGCCACATGGTCGGTTCGCCCAATCATGTTCTCCGCCTCGCTTCTCTTTGGACCAACCCCCAAGAGCGCGGAAGAAGCTCGCGCCTCGCCGTCAGGTGATCTCACGTAGACTTCCGCCTCGTTTCCGCAGCTCGCCCGCCGCGTCCCTCTGACCAATAAACACACCAAGCCACCGACCAATAGGAATGAGAGCTGGCTCGGAAGTTGCGCGATCGGAGCCTGCGGGGCTGAGGTCATAATGATTAAAATGGCGACGCCGCAGTTAGTGGGGTTACCGGCTTCTCTTACGGGCAAGTTCAAGGGGTGCGTTTCTTCTGTCGCCGGCTCCTTGCAGTTAGGAGATGGGAGGGGCGCAGGAATAAAGCATTGGGGTCGGAGCGTCACAATGGGAAAAGTTTCTGCCCGGGTGTTTTTGAAATCCCCTTTCCTGTTCCTCTTTGGGGCTACTTGCTTGAATTGCGGAGGCTTCTAGGATTTTTTGGGAATTCCCAAGGGAACCAGGTTTCGGAAGGCTGTGCCAGTTTGGTTATTGCTCTTTTCGGCTATATTCCGGTGACATACTTAACTTACCCATCGTTAAATGAACCATGGTGTGCTCAGTGTTCAATTTTTGTGGGTTTGCACAAGGCACTGAACCATAAACTAATCCCAGCAGTTTCAGGGTAATACTGCAAATCTTCCTTTCCTTAATTTAAAAGTGACCATGTATAATACACCAGCTGTGTTTATGTTGTTCACGATTGAGTTGCTGGTTGTTACAATCAAGCAGATGTCACAATCTTTTGCAGAAATTATAAAAGTGCAATCCTGTTAGATAGTGGCTTGTGCTATGCAATGTTCCAAATTTTATATTTCTATTTATTGGAAATGTATCAGTAATTTAATTATTCCAGTCAGCCAGTTCATTCCCAAGAGTTGCTTTGGTCTAATGATTAAAGGCGCAGGGCTGGAAAGCAGGAAACTCTGACTTCTAGTCCTATCTTAGGTGCAAAGCCAACTGGGGGACTTTGGGCCAATCACTCTCTCTCAGCCATAGGATGAAAGCAATGGTAGACCACTACCGTAAATCTTGCCAAGAAAATTGCAGAGACATATATGGCCTGTTCACCCGGAACAAAATATTTACTGTGCAGAACAAGCACATTAAGATTAGGGTAGTGAATTTTTTTATTTTGAAAGTTTGGAGCCTTGAAGGTTCTGAAATTAGTGTACAATTTATTACATTTTATGCTTTATTAGGCACCCTTATTTTTAAAGCTGGAAGGTTCTGATACTATGAACTGATTGGTTAGACTTAAATTGTACACTAATTTCAGACCCTTCAAGGATCCAAACTTTCAAAATAAAAAATTCACTACTCTAACTCATTTGGTAATATTCAGGCTATTTACAAGACTGAAATAACATTGTTTTGTATTTTTACAGATCTTTTGCATATAATACAATTAAAGACAGGCTGCCTCTCATCCTGACACGTGTTATTGATACTTTGCATCGACATAAACATGAATTCTTTGAAGAACACGGAGAAGTAAGAAACTTGACCATTTCTGTTTTATTCTTATATGAATACAAATGTTAACCCTACTTACTGCTTTCTATACTTAATTCTGTGTACCTTAGAAATAACTTTTCCTGATTCAGATATCATGCAAAGGCTGTCCTGGATTGGCCATGGTTTGTTTTGTCTAGTATCATCTTCTCATTTATTTTTCTAATCTTTTCTAAAGTCTTCTAAACTAATCACTATCAGTATCTTGTAGTAGGCCATTATGCATGAACAGGTAAGTGCATTTTATGGTCTACAACTGTTACTAATCAATTTCATTGAATGAACCTGAACTCTAGTATCACTAGAAGGGGAAAATGTTTTTCTCCTCTTTTGATGAATGGTTCTCTGTGTTATTATCTTACTGGGTTATACCCCTTCTCTGTGTCAGTTTCTTCAAAATTAAAAAAAGTTCCAGATGCTTCTTTTCCTAGGAAAGATGCTCAACTCCCATTTATTTTATCATTCCTTCATACACCAGATTTTCATTAGATTATATACCATATAGCCAACATCTCTTTCTTGATCAGTGACCAGCACTTTATAAGCTATCATAGAATGTAAAGGTTGGAATAAATCTTTGAGATAATCCAGTCAAACCTCCTACCTGGGGCAGAGATCCACTACTACAGCATCCGAAAGAGGTGGCCAGTGCCTGCCACCTGTCAAGACAAGTCTGTCCCCCCCCTCCCCCCACTGCTCACACCTATCCTATATTTATGCCTGTGATTCTTCCTACCCATATGTGAAACTTTGCATTGTCTTTGTTGAAATTCATGTTGGCTGATTTTTGGTCAGTCACCCAGCTTCAAGATCCTCCTGAAGCTTGGTGCAATTTTCTGTAAGTGTTTGCTTATCCCCAATTTCTGTCATTTGCAAATGTGATAATTGTATTTCCTGATCCCTCATCCAAATCAGTTATAAATATGTGGAACAGCACAAGGCCTACAGCCATGGCCTGTGATATTCCATTTAATGTGAAGACGTTGATGTGTGCTAAGTAAGATAGTTCAACCTATCAATGTATATATGTAGCTTTATGTCTTAATAAGCATTGCATTGAATCTTATTTGCTGTTTTGTTGCCTATTTACTCAAAGATATCCATTTAAATAATGTGAGGGACCCTTAACAGTCCTAGTCAGCAAGGGCAGTTTGGAGGAATTCTGGGAGATATAGTTCAGCAACATCTATCCTAGCTTTTGAAATTCATTTTGCAATTTAGTTCCATTATATCTGCTGCTTTCGTCTCATCTTAGCATTTCATGTGATCTCTTGGTTTCCATTTTTTCTTGAGATATTTGTTTTCAGTTTTGTGGATAATGGGTCAATTTTTGTCCTATATCATTCCTTTTATTTTAATTAGTGATAAAAGGGTATTAAGTATAGTGTTCTGACTTTGGATCATTTCGGTTTGGGGATAGTAAGAACAAATATTTCAAGATGTTGCTCTGGACTATGACAGAATACTGCCATTATTTTAGAGACCAAAACTGCTTTGAGAAAGTATTAATCTGTGTAAGAGTGAATACTGGAAACTAAGTTGTGCTGAAAATAAAATAATGTAACTATTTAAAGAGGTTATTTTTTTTCTAGAGGGCTGTAAAACAAGAAGAATGGGGAAAGAATCTAGATAGCAAAGATTTGGCTTCCTCTCACTGATGATTTGCTTGTGAGGAAAAAAAATTGCCATAGCGGGGTCCGTGTACTTCTGTGCAACTGTGTGGGTGTTATGATAATTCATACAGTCTGCTTGATTTTTTCATTTATTTAGCCTCTCCCAATTTCCTTTGTAGGGTTGATTGTCAGTCACATTGCATAAGCGTCTAGCTTCTTATCAAGCTGCATTTTTTCATAAAATGTCACTTTGCTATCATCCATAAACTCTTGTATGTCTGTGTATCTGTGGTATCTCCAAAATTATATAAACCACTACCGTATTTTTATTGTTTCAGCTTGCTTTGGAACTCATAAACACTCAGTTGCTTAGAGGGGACTGTTTTGGGGCTTTTCTTTTCATTTCTAAGTAGCTGGCCATTCTCTTTTCCAAGATAGTCTGTGCTATTCATTCAACAGCTAATGGGCATACTCGGTATTCATTTTCTGGATCATTGATATTTCAGTCTTGTTACATTGTAGACTCATTTTGGCTGTATCCTTATTAGCATCCAACTGCTAAATTTTACCAATAGAAAGGTAGCGGTAATTTACGGTTGTTAATTGATTTGGCAAAATTCACTCCAGAGAAAAGAACAAGAGAGTGTAGTTAATTCTATCAAACCTCTTGACTGGTGAAGTTAGAAGTAGAGAAGAAACTATTTTTTAATGTTACATCTTGGATAAAGTTAAACACCATAGCTTTTCTTCTTTATCTAAAGGTTGAAAATTAAATTAAGATTTTTTTTAAATGCTGAGAGTTCTATATATCTGTAAATATCCTTATTCTGTACTGAAAATGTGGTATTTTTAACACTGTTCAGACATTCAGTCACTTCTGACTCTTCATGAACTCCTAGGCATTTCCTCAATACTGTATGTATGTATTTATTTATTTATTAAATTTATATGCCACCCATCTCCCCCAGAGGGGATTGTTAGTACTTCCTTCTCTTAAGTCCTTGTAAGTTCATGTTCATGATATCAGTAACAGTATCCAACTTTCATTTCTTCTCTTAGCCTCCTTTGGTTGCTTCCTATTATTCTAAACATCAGGGTCTTCTGTAATGACTCCTGCCTTCAGATAACGTGTCCAAAATATTTAAATTTAGCTTCTGATTAATTCCATTGAGCAGTTTTACTTAATGCAGTTCTGAATAATTTGTTCTTCTTGTGGGCCAAGCTATTCTCAACATTTTTCTCCAGCACAAATTAAAGTATCATTTTTTCTTTGTTCAGACTTTCTGATGATCCAGCTTTCCTAATCATGTTATAATTGAGAAAAGCAATGCCTTGACAGTATGTACTTTTCTTTTAAGTCTGATATCTTCCGCACTTGAACATTTTGCCTAGCTCTGTCATAGTTTTTCCCTCAAGCAGCAAAATTTCTTTTTATTTCATGGCTACTGTCATCTTCACTGTACAGTTTTGAGCCTAGGAAGGTAAAGTTTGTTACCCCTTCAACTTTTTCTATGCCTATTTGCATTGGGTTGGGTTTCTCTGTTGACATAATCTGTCCCTCTCTCTTCCGTATGGAATTTTGCACACTCTTCTTTCTCCTTCAAGAAGATATTTCTTGAGTATTGAACATTTCACTTTTGCCTTCCTTCAGTTATTTTCAACATAACAGCAGACAGCCATTTCATATTTTTGCATTTTGGGATAGTTTTGCTTGCTTCATCTTGAATGATATTACATTAAAGAATTCTTCAGGCATTCTAATTATTAAATCAAATCCAATAAATCTATTCTTACTTTCACCCCAAAATTATATGAAACATTACTGAGATTGGGTCCTGTTGGTCCAGTAATTTTGTTTCGTTTGGTAGAGAAGGAGTTTGTAGCATCTCAATTACAGTCAGCATGAAGTCCTGTTTTTGCTGACTTAATGGAGCTTCTCCAACTTTGCTTTCAGAGTATGTAGTTTACTTTTGGCGTGATCCATTCAGTGATGTTTGTATCATCATCTTTTAGATTATTGGAAGAAGGTATTTGTTATAAATATAGAATCTTACAACACATATTGGTTTCTCCCACTTTGTGTCACATGCTAGGACCAAATTTTCTGGTAATTCCAAATGCTACTGTATTTTCAGTTTTAGCATTCCAGTAATGTGCTGCTTCTTCTGCATTTCTGATTGGAGCATAGACTTGGAACATTGTAACAATGATTAACTTGCCTGGGACTCAAGATCATTCTACCAATTTTAGAGGTTCTATCTGAGTACTGACATCTTTTTGTTAATGATGGCTTCCTTATTTATTCTGTGGTTTTTCTTATCTGCAGTAGGTGATCTGATGCACTTTAGATGTGAATGAAAATGTTTAATCTTGACAATACAGTACTATACTGACAATATCAAGTTTACCTTGTTGATGGTTCTGACATTCCACATACCAGTGGTATACTTATCTTTGTAGCATCATATGTTCATTTTCCCTATGGTCACATCAGGAGTTGGACATCCTTTCAGCTTTAATCCAGCCACATCATAACTGCCAGTGCTATTCACATTTCTCCTGTAGCTTAAGGGATATCTTATGGCCTGGGGGCTTATCTTTCAATATCATGCTGGCCTTGCCCTGGTTTTGATGACCATTTGGTAAAATACTGGAATGTGTTGCCATTTCCTTCTTCAATGGATTGTGTTCAATCTAATCCCTCAAATGTGACCTGCCTGTCATGGGTGAGCCTTTTGGGTGTGCATATTTCCAATACTATATCTCATAACATCATTGGGATGCACAAACCCCATCACCAGCACAAAGTGATGATTCATGAAAGGTATGTTTAATTTACCATTGTCTTATTGTTTGCCACTGCCCTACTCTTATATCCAGTTTATGTAAGCATTAAGTATAAAGAACCCTCTTTTTAAATCTACCAGGTTTTTATTTTACTCTTGAGACCATATTTATTCACTTGCTTCAGTGTTCAGTGCAGCACAGATAATCATTTGGTTATTAATTTAATTCATTATGGTCTCTAAAATGTTTGTCACACTGAGCTGTGGGTCTGGATATTTTTAAGTCTCAACACCAATATTTTAAATATGCTTAAACGATATGTATTAAATATGATTTATTAAAATGTAAGTTTAGCAAGCACAAATACTTGAATTAAAAGCATTATTCTCACTTTATTTTAGAAAGGCATTGAAGCAGAGAAGAAAGCTATAGCCTATCTCTCCAAGTTACGGAATGAGTTGCAGACAGACAAGCCACTGATTGCACTGAATGATAATCTCCCTGATACCCCTCTATGGAACCAGTACTTAGAATATCATCAAAATATATCAAATGAACCACCAAGCTGGTTTCAGTCTCCTTGGTTGTATACAGAGTGTTACATGTATCGTAGAATTCATGAAGCTCTTATTCAGAGGTAAGTTTGTGTAATGTTGGCTCTTTTTGTTTGATTTAAATATTTGAGAAAAAGAAAATAAAAATACCCTCAAGTCAAGCTTGATCCATGCAGTTCTCTCAGCAACAGTTCAAAAAGTATTTGCTATTGCCTTCTAATTAATTAGGTTATCTAATTTTCCAGCCCTGAAATTCCAGTACTAATCAGGTTTGACTTGTAGCTTCTGAGGTCAGCCAGGGTCCCATTAAGTACAAGGGGCTAATAAATAGCATTAATTTTAGTAATATCTTGCTAAAAATGTTGAAGGACTCTCTGTACAAACTTTTATTTGTACAGATTGGTAAGCAAACATAAGCAAGTTTCATTTACTGTGGTTTCAGTCTTGTTTGAAATGAGATTCCAGGTCCCATTAAATCCACATCAAATCATGGTGAGCTTGAGCAAAGACTCAGACTCACATTCACTTGCTGTGACTGAACTAGAGAAGGACTTTGTCAGAAAACTAATCTGAGCAAAACTGCAGTGTAGTTTAGGATTGCATGTGAAGTGAACCTGTTTGGTAGTTCAAATCAAATTAGAAACTATAAATAATGAAATTTCTGTCTTGTTTGTTCACTCATGCAAAGATGCTTCATAGCCCTGTTGTACTTTCTCTTACTTATTTGTTAGAATCCAATGGTTGATCAGTGGAATAATATGAGTTTATATATACCTTTTTTGATAAATACATCCCTTAGTTAAGCATTCCTTTAATTATTTTAACCAGTGGAAGCTGATAAGGAACAACAGGAACATTAAGATGTGTGGGGAGGTAAAAGTATTTTAGTTTATTTAATGTACATTAAAACAAGGAATATATGTCCATATGTATATATGAAGGAATGAGGGGGAAATTTTAATAATAAATTAAGCTGTTCTCAAACCCATTTCAACCTTCCTGTGATCAAATGAAAGCTCTTTCATCAAACATGGAACAAAACTGTATAGGCTCCCAAGATAGATTACTACTGAAAAATATTAAATATAAAGATATTTAGGTATCATTGAACATGTTAATATAATCTCATGCTGTGCATTCCTAACAAAGATTTGGAGTTGAGTCAAAAATAGTTAATATGATGTTGTGCTATGTGATAATACAGTCTGAAGGAGAAGAGATTTAATATGCATGTGTTTTGGGATACTAATGATGTCAAAAACTAATCTAAAGAACATCTTTTGTTTAGTCCACCCATCAGCAATTTTGATGTATTTAAAGAAGAAAAGAATCATGCTTTCTCTGAGTCTCAGCAAGCTATGATTGTTTTAAGTACTTGTCTCCAACAGCTGTTGAAAAATATAGATGACTTTGATGAAAAACGTTTGAAAGAGGAGCTTTGTAAGCTGATTCAGGTAAAATTGGTGCTTGTATATATTCCCTTATTTTGGAAGCTGTAAGCAATACCATGTTTCCAGTGAGAACTACTGCAAAACTATACATACTATCAGAATAGGTTTTTAAAATGTTGTTTTTAACCTTAGCCTAAGTAACAAATAGTATAACAACTGTTCAAAATATTGATTAAAAGCTAGGGATATGCAAAACTTCTTGGTTCAGGATCAGAATGGGAATGTTCTGATTTTTTTTTAGACCACACCAATCCAGTAATGGTTCAATAATTTTTCAGACATTTGGGAGGAAGGTGTACAGTATGCCATTCCCCCCTTCTTTGCAAAGTAAGTAATAGAATTGCAGCTTGCGGTGGCAGGCTATTGGGTTGGAGTTACCAGATCAAAGAATTGCCTGATTTACTGAAATTAACAAGCAATCTTTTCTTCTTTAGGTTTCATTATGGGGCAATAAGTGTGATCTATCAATTTCAGCTGGGGCGGATAATTCTCAGAAGTCTGACCCATTACAATCTGTGGAAGAATTAAAAACTTTCATCTTGGTGGATCACATGGAAAAACTTTGGTCACTGCTTATAAACAAAAAGAAAAACAAAACACCAACTAGACTTGACGTGGTCCTGGATAATGCTGGTTTTGAACTCATTGCTGATCTTGTTTTGGCTGACTTTTTGTTATCCTCAGAATTGGTTACTGAAATTCATTTCCATGGGAAAAGTATTCCATGGTATGTGTCAGATACTACAAAGCATGACATGGATTGGACAATTGAACAAATGAAGTCAGCTAATCATAAGTGGATGTCTAGATGTGGTGTCTCCTGGGAGGGCTATATGAAAAAAGGTGTTTGGATTTATCATGATCATTTGTTCTGGACTTTGCCACATGAATTTTCTAGTATGGCTCAGATTGCTCCCGATTTATACACTGAGTTACAGAAATCAAGTTTGATTATTTTCAAAGGTGATTTGAACTATAGAAAGCTAACAGGTGACCGAAAATGGGAATTCACAGTGCCATTCCATCAAGCCTTGAACAATTTTCAGCCTGCACCACTCTGCAGCTTAAGAACATTAAAATCCGATACTCAGGTTGGTTTGAAACCTGGGCAAGGTGAACAGCTTATGAATATTGAACCTGAGTGGATGATAAATGGGAAATATGGAATAATTCAGTTTGATGCTACTTCCTGATAGATTTGCAAAGTATGAAGAATGGCACTGTGTTAAAACATGATTTTGATGGTCTAACCTGGAAGGCCACTGATTTTCAGTGTGCACTATTTTCTTCCAAGAGCCTTGCTGTTATTTTTAAAGTGAAATGCAATTGTGACCTCTTTTAAATCATCAGAAAGATTCAAATTTGTCCTCTAGCATACTTTATTTTTAACTAATATAGAACAAGAGGCAACAGCCAAAGGTACTATATTAGTTGACATGCATTTGACCTCTGCTGTTTTAACATAAAACACAATGCCGCTTGAGCTTGATCTTGTTCAGAAAAACTGATGTTAAATAAAATGAATTCTCAAATGGCAAAACTAAAGGCTTTGAATAAATTATCCAGTATGAGAACTACATGCATTGTTGCACAGCATTAAAAAGAAATAATCCAGCAGTGAGTGCCCTTGTGTCTTCAGGCTTGCTGTGCCAATAAACATTGTAGGCAAACTATCATCAGAGACAGAAGGCTTTGCCATGACAGACTATCTGTCAAGGTGGTAGGACTACATCTTCTCATCTGCCTGCCTTCTCATTCTCATTTATATTATTAATGGCATGGTAGGAGAATGGGAAAAATTCTAGGAAGAAGTAGGAAGAATCCCAGAAATGGAGAAAAAAGGAAAGAAAATGCAAAAAGCAAGCAAGTATTCTTTATCTTGTCTGGGTTAAGTGGAATCATGGTTAACAGCCATGGGGGATATTTATTTATACATTAGACTATTTGTTCTACAGTTTAGGTAATGACAACTAACTATAAATTTATTACCTAATCTGTAAATAAATTTATCCCATGGCTGTTATAATGATTCCACCTAAGCCTGGTTGGTGAGTTATAATGTAAGCATTACAGAACTGTTTATCACTGCCATACATCTTTAACTGCAGTTTGTTCCTCAAGTGTTGTAATGGTTTTTTTAAAGGCGTAACGTTTATTTTTTTCAAACCGTTATTGTGCATATGCTTATGAGAATATTTTGATGTGGCTTTTATCAAGTCACCTGATAAGGCAGATACCGTAGCAGAACTATATATCTGATTCTGTATCTTAAATCAGAAAATATTTCTGAAACAAAGTTTTATAGTGTTCTTTTGATTATTTAATGGAATCCAGTAAATCTTATCCTCTATGTTGGACCACAGGAAATAGTGGAAGTTACAATCTGACATATGAAGCTTGGGAACGTTATTTTGAAAGAAGAGTCTTTGTTTTAGGCCTGTGTTCTCACCACCCATTTTGGTCTTGCTTTAAAATTACCTAGGTAACTTCTTCCTTCACTTGGAAAAGAATGTTCAGTTCACAGAATGTTTCTTTTATTTTTAATTCAAGAAAATGGAATTGTGTTGCTAAAGTTTTATTACTTTGATATCTTGATAGCCATAACAGGAGTGGGCAGCTTTTTTTTTTCCTCCTCCTGTGAAGGGTCTCCTTCCCTTAGGACAGGGTTCCTCAACTTCAGCAACTTTAAGATGGGTGGACTTCAACTCCCAGAATTCATGGCTGGCTGGGGAATTCTGGGAGTTGAAGTCCACCCATCTTAAAGTTGCTACGGTTGAGGAACCCTGCCTTAGGGGACAGCCTGTTGGAGGTTTTAACCATATATATATGGTGGTTTATTGATGCTCTCCGTATCATTTAACCATATATCTATGGTGGTTTGATGATGCTCTCCCCATCTTTAACCATATAAAAATATCGTGGTTTATTGATGCTCTCAATTGGGCAGTGCTGAAGCGAGCAGCAGAAGGAGAGAGCCTAAAGGAGTTTGCAATACTGTTCTGTTTCTTAGCCCCCTTTGCCCCCCGACTTAAACAGCATGGAAAGGATAAGAAGCTCTTACTAAGACCCACAAGTTTTGTGCTTGTTTTAGAACAAAAGAGAACGGAAAGCACCAGCTCTCAAGTGTGCTTTACAAAGGAAGAAAGGACAAGCTTGTAGATAGGAGTAAGAGTCCACACCAATAATCGACATCTTCCCTAAAACCAATTGTCCTGCCTACCCTTAGTCTGAATTACCCCAGGAGCAGGAGGAATATATAGGTTAAATAATATTAGTAATGGATCCATTTTTCTTATGCTTTTTTGGCATTTCTTTCTACAACTTTTTTTTAAATTTAATCTCGCCTTTATTATTTTTATAAATAACTCAAGGTGGTGAACATACCTAATACCCCTTCCTCTTATTTTCCACACAACAACAACCTTGTGAGGTGAGCCGGGCTGAGAGAGAGTGACTGGCTCAAAGTCACCCAGCCAGTTTTTCATGCCTAAAGTGGGATTAGAACTCACGGCCTCCTAGTTTCTAGCCTGGTGCCTTAATCACTAGACTTTTAAAACATTTAAGCAATCTTTCTAAAGTATAAAGAAAATATGAGCATGAATCATAGTTAGGAAAATAGTTTGCCAGGGAGAATATTCTTTGAGCCTATTAAGACTGCCATCAGTCCTGGTGCCATTAACTCTTCTACAAAGAAACACAACTTTAGAAAGTGCCGTGATCACTCTAGCAGAGAACATGCACAAATCTGCAAGAATTGCTGCGCTTCATCTGTACCTAATAGGTTACAATAGGTTTCTTCTATCCAAAGGTTATAGAAGCAAAATTAATATCAAATGCCTCCTGTGCATTTGATACTAATTTTCATTATAAAAATAATGAAAGCTGTGATATATAGCTGTATATATCATATGTACAGTGGTACCTCGGGTTACAAACTTAATTCGTTCCGTGACTCTGGTCGCAACCCGAATTGGTCGC